GCCGAGTTGAAATACCCGGACAGACGAACACACATACACACACACACACAAACATACACACACACATACATACACACACAGACAAGGTCGTCCCAATATGCGTTTTTGCAATTTGCATATAGGCAAAAACGCATAAAAACGGATAATAACATGAAACCACCACAGCGATTGTTGCCGTTTTCTTGGTATTCTTGGCAAATGCTGCATTTATTGTAAGTAACTTCGATAATTTTTCAATTTCTCTTGTCAGTGGTGATCATTTGCAGTCGAGCGTAAGCAGCCTAATGCACCTAAGCACTCTGCCGTTTTTCCATCTATCACCAATTTTTATCAGTAACAAATGGGGTTTATTCGTTCTGATCACACTCACCTTTATGGCAGCCTTCACTCTCGACTCGTAAGTCTCAAAACACTAGTCTTCTGAAAATTTTGATTTTTTTTTTGCAAAATGCCACCGTTGAAGTAACAGAATACTTTGATTTATAGTTCAGATGGATCTTTAGAAAATTATATTTCAAAAAAAAGTGATAAAATTTCTCAGAAAAGCACTTTAACTAATTTGAAATATTTCTGTTACTTTAATGAACTTTTCCGCAGTGTTTTCTGATGCTTTGGCTCCCTTCCTCCGCGCCTAATTTCATTTTTGCTGTCCTGAAAACCAGCACAAGGAATAAGTCTGCAAAAAAAAAGATGTCTGGATGGAATTTCGCTAAAATAACCGCCAATTTTATGAGTTGTTATTTTTTCAGGATTGTGATACCTGTGATGTATTTGCTAAGTGTGCTCGAGATGCGAGGGAGACGATCTTTAGGAGCAGCAAGCATGCCCAGGGCGATGCCGATGATCACATGCCAACAATCCAGTACCCCGATTTACAATGTCGTAGTCACGAAGCTGTGCGCCATCCGCTGGAAGCAATACTTGAACTCTGCGCGAATCGGAATTCAAACATCTTCATTCGCGGAAAATGCAGTAAGACAAGGCAAAATCTGACCGACGCGCCGGTCAGAAAACTGAAAATTTTGAAAAATTTCACTTGGACCGATTGACCAGCTGGTACTTCGTCAACTTTTTTCCAACAACCAGCGGAGACATCAGTCAATACTACTCTAATTTTGCTCCAGATTCTGAAGCTGTCAAGTATCCATGTATCTCCAGACAAGCGTTCAGATGGACCCTTCCATCCTGTCGAACCTGTGACTCCTCAACACTGCATTTCTTCAAAGACTGATACTGAAAAATTAATTGTTATTTTGGAACTATATCACGGTGTTACTTATAGTGATCTGGCCTCTCACTAAAAGAAAATGTAACCAATGAAAATGGACAATTTTTATTCGATTTGTTCCCAACTCACAAACTGGTAGAGCAAGTAAAGTCATAAAGTTAATTTGAAAATCACAGCTCAGCCAAAAAAAAAAAAAACAATTACTTAAAAGGACAATGTCAAATTTTGTTCGCTGGCTTTACGACCAGTGAGCGAAGACCGTTTTCAGCGCCTTTTTTTGCTAAAAAATTTCACAATGATACACAGCAGCAACAGACACTGAGATGGGCTACAACATCCTGACGACGTAGAATACAATTTAAAGCGAATGCAACGGTAATACTAGAATTTACAATACAAAACAAATCGCTTATGTGGGCAGCCAGGGCTCGCAGTTACAAGCGGAAGATCTATGCACAAAAAAGCACATAACAAGGAATCACGGACGTCACGTAGTGGATGATCGGCCTTCCGAAATGTTTCCTCGCGTCTCCTTGCTTGCAATCTCAACCGCAGCTACCTAAGATTTCCACGCAGAGGCCGGCTTACTTGAAACAATTTAAAGTTCCTCTACATAAACAAAAACTTCAGAAATGACTCGAGCTTTTCCTTTGACGGAAGCGATCGGTAGTTTCGTAGCGAGCAGTGCAAACTGAATTGTGAAAAAAGAGGTTCTGAAGGATTAAACTTTCCAATCAGTGATTTTCTAAAACAAATTCTATCATGGCTGTGTAATGGCACAGTGGCATTTCATAAATTACCATTTACGAGTTGCTTAGCATAACAAGACTAGCTTATTGTGATTGGGAAGGCCGATCATCCACTAAGTGACATCCGTGATTCCTTGTTGCTCTGCAAGATGTTGTGCAACGGCGCTACTGAAGGGACATTGAAGTTTATCCTTACTGGTAAAAACATAGCGGTCTGTCGCGCAGACTCCCGCAAAGCTGCACGAGAGGGAAGGAAACAAACTCGCACCTCACGCCTCTATCTAGACATTCCGTCAACTCAGGTGGCCCACCGAATTAGCCCAACAACCGGTGGACATCGCGCATTAGTGAATGAAGCCCACGAGAAAGAAAACGACCACTCGAACAGTGCACAGGTACATAGGCAGTGGATACTAGCTGGAGGTCCGCAGCTCAGGATCGAAGGATTTGGCACAGCTGCGTCCGGCGTGTGAGTTCATCCCAGTAACAACAACACTAACATGTGGTCCCCACACTGACTATTTTGTCAGACTTGATTATCTTCGTATTTTTACCAATTATAATTGAGAAAGAACGGATGGAGGCATTTGAATGGGTACATTGATGAAGCAAAATCAAAATAGAGCAGAAAGAAGCTTTCCTGTAATGTTTCAGGCAGGTGGCAAAAAGGCACCGAATATGTTTCGTCAACAAAAGTGCAATCCAACACGACTGTAAATGAGATTCGATTGCTTCCTTTCGTTTGTTCAGAGCACAGTATGGAAGCAAAGGATCAAAATCCGAACTGGACTAGCTGGTCCTAAATGAGTCTATTTTTGTAAATTTCTATTTACTAGCGAACAGTCAAATCAGGAAAAAAAAAACACTTGGCACGAGCTTAGCTGTAGAACTCAGGCTTCAGCAAACAATCAGAGTATTTCGTTTACCAGCTTGCTCCACAAATCTCATTTTTAATGCGCCATACAACGCTAGGAACGATAGCATTTGTAACGACATGAGTAACGATAAAAACTGAATGTAAAAAGCTTATCAGTACTCTATCATGTTAAAACCGAAAATTAATCCCCTTCGCATTAGCTCTCCATGAAAGATGGAGCTGGATGTCGGTGGGCAGCTGGATGTTGCTCGCTTTGCCGACAACTGACGCGGATACCGCTCATTAATGAGTGGTAACCACAAGAAAGTATGCCCTCGGACGTCTCCGAAAAGATAGCACACACAGTCGAACAGGCGATAAGTACTAACTGAAAGTACGCAATCCAGGAATGAAGGACCTGCCACGGCTTCGCCGGGCATGTGGAAGTGTTCCAGTAACATCAATAAAATGCGACAACTGATTTCATAGGTGCCTGGATATTTGTTGTACTTTGGTACTTTTACCAGTCACATTGGAAAGGCTGCGATACTGGATGTGGAAGGAGTTTCTTTGAAAACCTGCGCAAAATTAAGTTGATAAAAAAGGATGAAGATAGGACAGAGCGACGTCTGCCACATGCTACCCGGACGGTGAGAAGCACGGAACTGAAATAATAAAGATCAATATGATTCTTATCAGTTGAAGTACAACAGGTCTGTAGAAGAATTTTAATTATCATACAGAACTATAGAAGTTTAATTATTAGTTTTTGTTTCTTTAAAAGAACTCCAAAAAATTGAACTTTACGGAACTAAAGGACTAATTGTTTCAGCCGATCCCAGCTATTGTTTTAGTTTCGTTAATTATATAGCGAAAAAACTTCGCACTGAATAAAAGCACCGGCACCAGCCTATCTACACAGTTAAAGCCCCAATGGATATCTGTAGTGCTTTATTTGTCACCTTCTTTCTATATTCCTCCTACCCCAAATAGTGCTAGGAAAGAAAGCGTTCACGTGAGCAATGCTACTGTGACAAATTTGTTTGCCGCATAATGATGAAGTTAAAAGTCAAAACCTGCTTTGTATTCTTTCCTTGTAAGAAGCTGAGAAACTTGGGAAGTACTCGAAATGGTAGTAAGTGTCAAGTGCATACATCTGCTGGTAAGGCTTTGGTAACTTCCTCTTTCGAAGGTTGCTTAGAAGCAAGCTGATGGCAGCTAATATTGAAACAAGTGAATGAATAGTAGAGGTATTGCTTTTCATACTGGTGAAGTCGAATCCTCGACTTCTGACTGACAGCATTACATGCCAAAATCTTATGACTGTGTTTCAGGAAGCATGCAGCTTCAGTTGGACTGCGTGTTTCTATTTATCCTGGCAGTCGGCTTTGTCCAAGCAGAAACAGATTATCCGGTACACTGGCCGACGTGTGGCGATGGATGTAAGCGTTACGTTTATATTCATACCATTTTTTTAAACAATTGATTACAAATCGGAAATTTGGCCTACATTGGGAGAAAAAATTATTTGATAACTACAGGCAACAACCGCCGATTTTAAATAAGCACTGAGCTCTACCGACATGAATCAAAACCAACCACCCGAACGACAGTTAAGAAAAAGCGCTCTTATCCGATAGACACTGATTTTCAGAAGTTCACAGCTCAGGCCCGGCTCAGGACATAAGACTCAGGAAACAGGGTACGGATATGCAAATGTCCCGCCTCCAGTCTCAGTTCCCTCTTGTGCAAAGTGACGCGATTAAGAGTAATGAATCCGGTAATAATGCAAATTGGTCGGTGGTGGCAGCTTGGTGCTGTGCCATTTGAACCCGCTACCCCCATCCTCGTTGGTTTCGTTGTGTTTTGTCGAATAAAGTTTATTTTTGGTTCGTCAGCGGCCCAACCTTACATTTCAGCTAGTCAGGAAAATGGCATCTCAGTGTTTCTTCAAAATAAGGCCTCGGACAATTGGATTCCAGCCGGGTCAACTGCTCGTAATGGCAACTGCTGCAATTTTTGGAATTTTTTGTCGGTCAACCTCATTCACTGGTAGCGTGATTCTTAGCCAAATTTAGGAAGTCAGATTCATTTCACAGTCACTCTGCGAAAATTTTGTATCGAAGCAATTCGTGAAATTCCGATCCATTCGGCCAATCTAGCGAGGAACAGCTGTGCAATTGGAAAAAGATTATGGCGGAATGGATGAGGAAAATCCGTGACAGATATTTTCAGATGTCCGGCAATCGGCAACACTTATTTTTCTCTTATTAATAAAAACTGCTAAATGAAATGGGCAAGATTTTCATAGATACTAGACGTGACGAAAAGCTAGAGCGTAACCATCTTACGCACATATAATACTTACATATTATCAAAAGACAAAAATCCTTCCTACACACTGTCTTTTTATAAAAGGCCGATGCGTTCGAGGTTTGGCTCGAGCAATAGCGAGTGCCAAAAACAACCACTCGCTGGCAGAAGATGGTCTCCTCTGTCAAAAATGGTAAGCTGATGGCAGATTTGCTTTTCTGCCCTGCGCCAGTGCCATTTTACCATCGAAAGACGTGAACGAAACGTAGAGGAATTGGTTGTCCTGTTAAAATAGAATCTAAAGTGAAACAGTATGACAGGAGGTTATTTTCCTTGGCGGATAAAAATACTGGCCCAGATGTTCCTAATCTAACTCCGGATAAAAATACTGGCTCAGATTTTTCTAGTCCAACTTGGATGCATCACAATAAAACGATTAACAATAGATGGCAGCATCATTTGTCTGGACGATCTTAAGTGGTCAGAAAAATAATATTTCCTTATTTCTTCATTGTGGGTCTGTCGGCAAGCTGGCTCAGTCGGGCCAAATGCTCGCAGGGCTAACTGCTGCGTTAATAAGACCAAAGAAATTCGTTACCGGTTGAATTCATTTATTGGTAACGGGATGTGCGGCCAAAAGCCTATCTGGAAAGTATGGGTTATATCAGCGTCATTCTGTGGAAGCACCGCATCGAAGCAATGTGCACTGTAGTTCTGATCCATTTGGCAAACATCGTGACGGAGCATTTGCACAATTTAAAATAGATCCTGACTGATTCGTTAAGGAAAAACCACGATAAGCGTTTTGAGGATACTGGATAATCGAAAATACTATTTTCCTCATGCTGATGAAATCATCAGATATCTTTGGCAAGATTTTATTCGGGAATATCAGCCGTGATG